AGAAAAAATGGAAAATTGTCGACTTTTAGACACAGCGCCCCCTAGCGGCAACAAAACAATTTAATTTTGTCATTTAGCAGAAAAAAACTCTTCCAAATGACACCAGATTAATTAAAATCGGTTGAAAAACAAAAAAGTTATATAACTTTTGTTCCTGACAAGTTTGAACCTTCCCCCACCTCTTATTTGAAGAGTTAGAGCAAAAAATCGTCAATAAATTTTTTTCGTAATCTCATCAAGATTGCAATAATCATATTTTTAGGATACCTTAAGTGGGCGTTTTTTGAAGATAATCACAGTATTATGTTTTCGAGTGTTCGTTGCGCCCCCTAGCGATCAACTTACAAACTTTAAAACTATTTCCAGCAATTTTTCATGGCCTATTTTATGAAAAAAAATTTTACTTGGAAGCTCTAGGCTATTAGTCCTAGAGCTTCCTGAGGTATAGCCGGCGACCTTTCTTATTTGGACACCCGGTACAAAATTTCAAAGTGGTATGAATTATGATAAAAAAAAAGCTTTTTTCTTTGAATTTCAACACCCTGTATCTCGGAAAGGAAGCATTTTCGGACATATATTTATACAGGTAACTAGGGCTTATTTTCGACGTAGAATATGCCATCAAAATTTGGTGCACTAATTTCGGAACACCCTGTATAACATACAAGACATACAAGAAACTGAGGTCTTTGATCAAGAAGGCAAGACTCAAATATGAACAAGACATCCTAGAAAAGAACGATAAACACTTTAACTCTTACATTTTACCCAGTACATCAACAAATAATTGATGACCCCAGCGAAACGGCAGAGGCCTTTGCCAACCAGTTTGAATCTGTTTTTACCAAAGAATCCTTCCGCAATTTTCCCACGATGCCAGACCAAACTCGTAACCCAAATCAAATAAACAAGATTATCACACCTGAAGAAGTATACGAGGTGCTAAAGGAGCTAAAGACCTACTCGAGTCCGGGACCCGATGGAATACCTGCCATTTTCCTAACAAGATGTGCGGAATCCCTAACACCTTCATTAGTAAAAATATTTAACAGCTCGCTAACAGAAGGAATCCTATCAAAAATTTAAACCCAGGCTATCATAATCCCAATTTTTAAGAGTGGAAACAAACATCATCCTGCAAACTACCGATACCAGTAAGCCTGACATGCACACTCTTTAAAAAAATGGAAACAATACTTGCAAAAGATATCACAACTTTTCTACTGGAAATTTCTATTATTCCACCGTCACAACATGGATTTCTACCACAAAAATCAACCACCACCAACCTCTTGAATTGTGTAAATTATTGGACCAAAGAAGTTAATGAAGACAACCCAGTAGATATAGTGTATCTCGACTTTCAAAAGGCTTTCGTTCCACATGAAAGACTTTTCCACAAACTAGACCACTACGGGAATATAGGATCCTATCTTCGATGGAGTGATTCCTTTCTAAATGTAGAAAATACGCAGTCAGGGTCAATGGAATCTGTTCAGAACTACACCCCGTAATCAGCGGTGCGCCGCAGGGATCAGTGTTGGCTTCTATTCTCTTCATATTCTATATAGCAGACCTAACCAAAAGTTTAAAAAGTAACTCAGTATCCTTTGCACATGACAAAAAAAAACTCTTCTGTAACCCATTGAAGCAATTGGATCAGTGAGAAAGCTGAAAAAAACAGAAGAATTTCAAGAGCCTGGAATAGACACAAAATTGATAAGTATACATTTGATGTTGAATCAATAACATTATTGATAGTCTTGGAAAGAGAAACAATTTGTTGGCAATGTCGAACATGTAGAAGTTGATCTTTTTGCTGTAGAAGAAGACAAATGTTTCGAAATGGTTAGTAAAGAGGAATCTTCAGTAGAAGATGTCAGATGATTTGAATCTGTAGCTCGAACTTTTCGACGTAGAAGAAGTGCTGAAAGTTGAATGCAGATCATGTTTCTACACAATCTCACAAATAAACTAACCCAAACTCTAGTTGGTTTCATTATACAACTAGTGAGTAATGATCCCTTGAGCTTCTATTGTTAATAAAAGCGCCGCTTAATTATTCCAATTATTGTGATATCATTATTATATAATCCACGGCCGTATGAAAATAATGCCGCAATCGTTATTATTTTCTATTTACGCCTCGCAAACACGCCATTGTCTTCAATGATTGTTTCAAAGAGTGGAGTAGAAAGTCATTTTTGTTGTAGTAGATACAACGGCAACTGTCAGTTCTATTTTATTAGGCAAAATGCAACTAAAAGGCGACTATTTTTAACTCGCGTATGTGTGTGCCCCAGTTTCGTCATTACGAATTGCAAATGCTGTGCTGCGAAAAACAGGATTTGCCTTGGATGAAACGGATCAGGATTTATTTGCCGTACGAGGTAATTTAATTTCTAGCGTGTCTCGTCCAGGCTAGTAAAATCTCCGCGCCCTCTGTTTTATGGCTTTGCACTTGAACTTGATACTTGATATTTCAATTATAGTACTGGACCAACCTATTTTCCATTAGCGGAATGTATATAGGTCATGGGTCCAGTGAAAATCTTCAATAGATGTTTTCCAGTCAAAATTTATTATCTCATTTAAGAAAGCAATGAAAACTCATCGGAATTTATGAGAATTTGGGAAATTTAAGTATAGGGAATTTGGAGAAATTTATGAGGAATTTGGGAAAATTTGTGAGGAATTTATGAGGAATTTAAAGGAAATTGTCAAATTTAAAAAATTCAAAAGAATAATGAATACAGTTTTTGTAGGCTGATTTCCAAGATTTTTCATGTTGTTATTTTCCACTGAAAAAATTTGGAATTTTGGGAAAATGATCTTCGCACCTTCCTATTCACATGAAAAAAGTTTCGAAATTTTCCCTTCACTAGTTTTTTAGGAAAACTTTGAAATATGTGAGATTGTATTTTCAATTATTTCAGTTTTTGTAGGTTGATTTCCACTCGGATTTCCGAGATTTTTGATGTTACTGTTTTTCACAGGAAAAATTTGAAATTTTGGGAAAATGATCTTCTCACTTTCCTCTTTACATACATAAAGTTTCAAAATTTTCCCTTCACTAGTGTCCTAGGAAAACTTGAAAATATGTGAGACTGTATTTTCAATCAATCCAGTTATTGTAGGTTGATTTCCAAGATTCCTTATGATGCTATTTCCCAATGGAAAAATTTGAAATTATGGGAAAATTAGCTTCTAGCCTTTCTCTTTACAGGCAAAAAGTTTCGAATTTCTCCCATAACTAGTTTTCCAGGCAAACCTTGAAATGTGTGAGATTGTATTTTCAACTAATTCAGTTTTTGTAGGTTGATTTCCAAGATTTTTGATGTTACTGTTTTTCACAGGAAAAATTTGAAATTTTGGGAAAATGAGTTTCTCACCTTCCTCTTCACATGCAGAAAGTTTCAAAATTTTCCCTTTTTTAGTTATCTAGGAAAACTTTGAAATATGTGAGACTGTATTTTCAACTAATTCAGTTTTTGTAGGTTGATTTCCACTCGGATTTCCAAGATTTTTGATGTTACTGTTTTTCACAGGAAAAATTTGAAATTTTGGGAAAATGATCTTCTCACTTTCCTCTTTACATACATAAAGTTTCAAAATTTTCCCTTCACTAGTGTCCTAGGAAAACTTGAAAATATGTGAGACTGTATTTTCAATCAATCCAGTTATTGTAGGTTGATTTCCAAGATTCCTTATGATGCTATTTCCCAATGGAAAAATTTGAAATTATGGGAAAATTAGCTTCTAGCCTTTCTCTTTACAGGCAAAAAGTTTCGAATTTCTCCCATAACTAGTTTTCCAGGCAAACCTTGAAATGTGTGAGACTGTATTTTCAACTAATTCAGTTTTTGTAGGTTGATTTTCAAGATTTTCCATGTTGCTGTTTTTCACTGGAAAAGTTTGAAACTTTGGGAAAATGAGCTTCTCACCTTCTTCTTTACATGCAGAAAGTTTCAAAATTTTCCCTTTATTAGTTATCTAGGAAAACTTTGAAATGTGTGAGACTGTATTTTCAACTAATTCAGTTTTTGTAGGTTGATTTTTCAAGATTTTTCATGCTGCTGTTTTCCACTGGAAAAATTTGAAATTTTGGAAAAATGAGCTTCTCACCTTCCTCTTTACACGCAAAAAGTTTCAAAATTTTCCCTTCTCTAGTTTTCCAGGAAAACTTTGAAATATGTGAGATTGTATTTTCAACTACCTAATTCAGTTTTTGTTGGTTGATTTCCAAGATTTTTCATGTTGTTATTTTCCACTGGAAAAATTTGAAACTTTGGAAAAATGAGCTTCTCACCTTCCTCTTTGCATGTAAACAGTTTCAAAATTTTCGTATTTTTTAGAGGAATTTGTGGGATATTTGGAGAAGTTCGTGGTGAGGTAATTGGAGGAATTTGTGATAGGGTATCTGGAGGAATTTGCAGGAATTTTGAAGAATTATGCTTAAAAAATTCCGCTTTGAGGAATTGTTTGCACCAATTCTGGAATAGTGGTTTACCCCTTGACTAGTAAGTACCCTCTTACCATGGATTTTTTGTATTTAATATCGCCATATAAATAAATACATTTTCCTATATTTCTGCCATCGCAGGTATAAAATCCTATTGTCATTCTATTACCCAACAATCCATGCAATAATGCCCACATTTCAAGGCAAAGATGCAATAGGAAGAAGTTTCGTAATAACTAATTGCATTACTCACACAGAAATATTCATTACCGCCCAAGTAGGTTTTTGGTCAAATAATAAAAGGCGGAAATTAAAAATCTTTTAATTAATTTATCGAATTGTCTGACGCAAAGGAAACCTCAAAACTGCGACCTTCTTGTATCGAGTTTCCCTAAAAATAAATTATTCTATTGTGTGAGTTTTGCCTGTATGTACCATAAAGTGATTTTAATTGTGGTAAGAGAAAATGAATAAATTTCCCTGAAATATTAATTTGACAACATCGAAAAACACTGTTGCCACTTGTCAATTGCTTCAGGATCTTCCAACAAAATCGCACAGTACCTGCAGCGATGGCTCATTGCTCAGCATGGACGGCTCAGAAATGGACGAGGATTCGTTCGGATTACAGTCTGGACACTCAAGCAAAGTGTCCTTGACTGAAAAAGGTATAAATTAGTTATTTAAAGATCAATTATTATCGTCAAATTTTTAGAATCTGATTTGGAATTATTGGGTCCTAGTTTTTCTACGGTACCTTTGAATCACAGTGCTGCCCATCACAGGGTTTCAGTGAGACCGAAACGGACTTATGGGGCTCCTAGGAGAAAAAAAGGACAGGTAATGATTGATTCATTTGAGGATTTGAGGCAAAAAGTTATTATTTTCTAGCTATCATCAGCATTGCCAGCAACCCCAGAAGTTAACGAAGATTCGTCCATTAGAAGCATGTCACCAGAAAGCATTACCACAGGTAAATATAAGCTTATCAAGCCTCAAATGTAACTAACAACTTCTGTAAAAATCAGCCCTTACTAATTAATGTTTTTCCGCTTTAATTGTTCTCCCATCCGCTTCTTCCAGAGCCAATAACCGAGCTTTCGCGCCGCCACCAGACGCTAATCTCGCACGAGGTCAAATTAAAATGTAATTCTTTGCCAGTCGGTGCCACTCCGCCCACTTCCGAGTCGCTCAGGCTGATCCGGAGCAAATCCAATGCGGGAAAGAGTCAGGACGATACCGTTCTCGATGGACCAGAACGTGAAGAGAAGCTGTCATTGTTTGAGCGACTTTTTCCAAGACGGAGCGCAAAAAAAAAGAAGAAGGATGCTGTTGTTGTTGTTGATGGTAAATCCCATAAACGTGAAGAAATCAAACCAATTGCTGCACCTCGTTTATTGGGAGCGGCTTCCAGACAAAGAATCCAGCCAATGGATATTATTGACGTGCCATCTCCTCAAGAAGATATCAGAAGCAAAATCAAAATTGCAGGCCTGTCTTCGTTGCAGCAGAAAATATTGAGCCACACAGAGGAGCCTGTTAAAGTTAACAGGCCTCTATCTAAATCGCACAGCTTTAAAAATCAAACCGAAGACGATGAAAGAGTTTCTGTGCCAAAAGCTGCTTCACTGGACAGCGTCAAGAATTTAGAAGAACCTCTATTGAAATCTGAATTGACGTTAACTTTAAGGCCTGCAAAATGTGTGGAACAAGAATTGGAAGTAGAAGAAATTGAGGTTGTGCCTGAAAAAAGCCCTTTATGTGATGATGTTGAGCCGAAATCTTTTATTACAATATCAGGGCCCAGTCATACAGCCATAGTGAATATTTCTAGTAAATCTGAAGAATTCAAGACTGTTACTAGAATTCAATTGACAACGCAAATTCCAGAATTTATAAATAAACAACTGAATAAGGTTGAAGCTAGGCCTACAAGTAATATAGTGTTTTCCATGAAAAGTCCCACTAAAATGCTTCCGAGAAAATTCAGCAAGGAAGATGTTGAGATTATTGAAAAAGAGTCACCAACAGCTAAGCTTAGGTTCAAAAAAAATGACTCCAAACCGCCATCATCATTACGTAAATCTTCTATCACACCTGATTGTGATTCTCCTCCAATTATAAAAGATAGGGCTTTAAAAGCTCGCTCTATTTCGTTAGACTCATTAAAAAGTGAAGAAAATATTTCACAAGACAAAAGCTCAAACGATGGAGTGGTTTTAAGAAGAAAATCCTTTGCCAAACAAAAAAATGAAGAGGAACCAGAACTGATGAAGGTGTTTGCCAGGAGGTCTTTGAAACTAAAAGACAGCGATGTTGATCAGATTCAGGAAAAATTAACAACTGACGATACTGATAAAGAAAACACCAAAATTGAACCTGAAATTATTATTGAAAACGTTAAAGTTTTCAAACAACCACTAGTTGAAATCAAAAAATCACCATCAGATTTTGTCAAAAATGTTGCCAAAGAGGAACCCGAGGTTCAACTAAGACGCGGCTTCAATAACAATATATTTTTAGGTGAGTAGATATTTTAAAATTTTCTTAGAGTCATCAAAAACTCAATTCTAGCCTCGCAAAGGGCCACAAGTCTGAATACCAGCAACACAAAAACCGAGTTTCACATTAAAAAACAAGCATCCCTCAATGAACGCCAGTGGATCAAGGTTGAAGATGTGGAGGAAAAAAAAGATTTGGATGAAATAATCAACACGAAAGTGGAAGAGGTCAGGACGGAGACGAAGAATTTCAGTCAGCGCAGGGCCGAATGGGAGAAAAGAGTGCAACAAGCGCAGAAATAGGTTTATTTTTTTGGTGAGTAGATTTACTATTCTGTGATTAAATTTAATTCCTGTTATTTGAAATTCCATTTAAAAATTTTGACAGCTCAAACATTTTTGTTTTTCATTGGGTTTTGAGTATTAAAGATTTCTCAAATTCCTTTATATAAACATCGAAATAAGATGTTTCTAAATACTTTAACATTTTGTTTGTGCCTTTATATTATGATGTTTAATCTTTCTTTGATATTTTTAGTTAATTTTTTAATCCTTCATTAATTTCTCTCTAGGGGTAAACCACCTTTGAATTATAGTGTACAAGTATATGAGATGTATGAGTATTTAGGACACATTTTGTCTTACAACTTTGTTAATTTCAATCCGATCTTAATGTAATTAGGCTTAAATTGAAGCCAATCAAATTCTCTATAAACCTCCTTTAGATGATTTCAATGTAGCTTCAATAGTTTCGCAGCTGCAAAATTGTGTGACTTAGATTTCTATCAAAATGACACACTTTGTGTCATAACTTTGTTAATTTTGATCCGATCTTGATGTAATTAGGCTTAAATTGAAGCCAATCAAATTCTCTATAAACCTCCTTTAGATGATTTCAATGTAGCTTCAATAGTTTCGCAGCTGCAAAATTGTGTGACTTAGATTTCTATCAAAGTGACACACTTTGTGTCATAACTTTGTTAATTTTGATCCGATCTTGATGTAATTAGGCTTAAATTGAAGCCAATCAAATTCTCTACAAACCTCCTTTGGATGATTTCAATGTAGCTTCAATAGTTTCGCAGCTGCAAAATTGTGTGACTTAGATTTCTATCAAAATGACACACTTTGTGTCATAACTTTGTTAATTTTCATACGATCTTGATGTAATTAGGCTTAAATTGAAGCCAATCAAATTCTCTATAAACCTCCTTTAGATGATTTCAATGTAGCTTCAATAGTTTCGCAGCTGCAAAATTGTGTGACTTAGATTTCTATCAAAATGACACACTTTGTGTCATAACTTTGTTAATTTTCATACGATCTTGATGTAATTAGGCTTAAATTGAAGCCAATCAAATTCTCTATAAACCTCCTTTAGATGATTTCAATGTAGCTTCAATAGTTTCGCAGCTGCAAAATTGTGTGACTTAGATTTCTATCAAAATGACACACTTTGTGTCATAACTTTGTTAATTTTCATACGATCTTGATGTAATTAGGCTTAAATTGAAGCCAATCAAATTCTCTATAAACCTCCTTTAGATGATTTCAATGTAGCTTCAATAGTTTCGCAGCTGCAAAATTGTGTGACTTAGATTTCTATCAAAATGACACACTTTGTGTCATAACTTTGTTAATTTTCATACGATCTTGATGTAATTAGGCTTAAATTGAAGCCAATCAAATTCTCTATAAACCTCCTTTAGATGATTTCAATGTAGCTTCAATAGTTTCGCAGCTGCAAAATTGTGTGACTTAGATTTCTATCAAAGTGACACACTTTGTGTCATAACTTTGTTAATTTTGATCCGATCTTGATGTAATTAGGCTTAAATTGAAGCCAATCAAATTCTCTAAAAACCTCCTTTAGATGATTTCAATGTAGCTTCAATAGTTTCGCAGCTGCAAAATTGTGTGACTTAGATTTCTATCAAAGTGACACACTTTGTGTCATAACTTTGTTAATTTTCATACGATCTTGATGTAATTAGGCTTAAATTGAAGCCAATCAAATTCTCTATAAACCTCCTTTAGATGATTTCAATGTAGCTTCAATAGTTTCGCAGCTGCAAAATTGTGTGACTTAGATTTCTATCAAAATGACACACTTTGTGTCATAACTTTGGTAATTTTCATACGATCTTGATGTAATTAGGCTTAAATTGAAGCCAATCAAATTCTCTATAAACCTCCTTTAGATGATTTCAATGTAGCTTCAATAGTTTCGCAGCTGCAAAATTGTGTGACTTAGATTTCTATCAAAATGACACACTTTGTGTCATAACTTTGTTAATTTTCATACGATCTTGATGTAATTAGGCTTAAATTGAAGCCAATCAAATTCTCTATAAACCTCCTTTAGATGATTTCAATGTAGCTTCAATAGTTTCGCAGCTGCAAAATTGTGTGACTTAGATTTCTATCAAAATGACACACTTTGTGTCATAACTTTGTTAATTTTCATACGATCTTGATGTAATTAGGCTTAAATTGAAGCCAATCAAATTCTCTATAAACCTCCTTTAGATGATTTCAATGTAGCTTCAATAGTTTCGCAGCTGCAAAATTGTGTGACTTAGATTTCTATCAAAATGACACACTTTGTGTCATAACTTTGTTAATTTTGATCCGATCTTGATGTAATTAGGCTTAAATTGAAGCCAATCAAATTCTCTACAAACCTTCTGTGGATGATTTCAATGTAGCTCCAATAGTTTTGTAGCTGCAAAGCGATTTTTATCCAAAATGACACATTTTGTCTCACTATTTCAATGTAATTAGGCTCAAATTGAAGCCAATCAAATTCTCTACAAATCTGTGAACGATTTCAATGCAACTTCAATAATTTTGCAGTGATAGCAACAGTAAAACTCAGTTTTCTTATGAAATATACTTTTAACTCATTAGTTTAAATTTAATACATTTTAAGTGGAATTCCAACGGGATTCCATTAGGATACCATGGGATTCAAGTAAGATATCGTAGGATTCCGTTGTAAATGGGATTCTGATGTACACATTTTTCAAGGTGGTTCACCCTGCTATTTCTTTATATTCCGTTGTAGGAGGTATCGTTCAAAAGTTTTGAAGATTCTCGGGTCTCGATTCGAATTAACTTTCAAGAATAATATTAATAACCGAGGGGCGGCTCATTCCTGAAATCGCTGTACATTTTCATCCAAAATTCCGTGCAATTATTTCGAAATCCTTTGGAAATCCCGAAATCGCGAACAGTGAAATCGTATCTGAAATCCTTACCAAAATCCCAACCGAAATCCTTCTGAAATCCCGAAATCCCAATAGATTTATTGATATCCTAAATGGTATGGCGTTGAAAGTCGAATATCCGAAATCTTTCGAAATCCCTTGAAAATTGTCGAAATCCCCTGCGATTTCCGAAATCGATGTACAAATTGCGGTAAGTGAGCTGCCCCCAATAATAACAGAAATATAAAATTGAAGCAATACAAGTGAAATTGTATTGCCCAAAATTCCGTTATTTGTTACAATTTGAATTTTCAACGCATTCAAAAGTTATACAGATATAAAAATAGAGTTGCACTAAATGACAGCATAAAGGCATCTTAAGGACGTCCCTAAGGTGTCCACAAACGATATTTTGAAGTCTTTCAAGACGTTTGCCTAAAAAAGTCATTTTTAGGACTAGACATTTTGAATCTCTTCAGATGTTCAGACGTAATAATGCAAATCAAACCTAAAAAATACGTCTTTATGTGCTGTGTGGGTATTAAGACATTGCAAAAATAAAAACCACAGATTTATTTATCATGTATTTTTTTTTTTTACAGTAAAATTCTTATTCGACCTAAAACTACTGGAGCTCCTCCTTCCTCCCCCTTACATTAGTCAATGATTGTGATAGTATTTAGCACTTAGGACCACTTAAAAAAAAAAACACCATTTGGAAGCTTACAATTCAAAAGATTTGTGGCTCTTCAGTCCTAAAGGAAAACGAATAACTCTATTTTTACACCCTTGGAATTCTCTGTGATTTGTATGAATTTATTGACAGGGTTTGATTGATGTATAGAGGCCTTAAGCATCAAGCAACTGGTTATGGTTGAAGAATGTTTCAACTTGTATATAATATAGCATTTATTATAAGACTCCTTAGGTTTTAAGAGTACACACCCTGTAGATATTTTTTTAGATAAGTGCCTTGTTTTTATCTATATTTAGTCTTTTCAGTATAGTGTTTTAACCCCCCCCCCCCCCCCCCCCCAAAAGAATGTGATGAAAAAAGAGAAAAGAGAAAACATATTTATTATAAGTCACGCTTGCCTTTTTAAATAAAGATAGAATTTTCCTGGTGCTTGAAAGATTGAAAGAGTATTGATATTATTATTAAATTTGTTAAAATAAGAAAAGGCCCATCCCCAATCCTGCTCCCCCCTTTTTCAATAACGCAATATTGTCCTTGTATAAAAAAGAAATAAATGTTTATTCTAATAAAAACTTCCCAAAAAAAGAACGGACTTAATTTGAATTACCCCGTATAGTGTAAGGAAATGCCACTAGATGGCGCATTAAGAATTAAGATACCACAATAATGATTATAGAGGAACATTATTAGTCAATTTAATAGTGCGAGCAAATGCACCTAGGTGGCGCCCCTATGAGTAAATGCCAGCCACTTCAGCATGCTGTGGAAATCCTGACAGAGTGGCAAACAAATAAGCGCCATCTAGGAGGTTGTTTGAAACAAACAATATATATTTTTTTAATTGTATTTCATTTTTAATTCACCAGCCTTTAACTCTATATATACATATACATATGAACTTATTACGCCTATTACAATCATATATTATAAAAAGTTATCCGAATGATAATATGTACTACACTCATCTTAATCCATAATTATTATAACAACACAACATAAAGGTACATTTCTACCTTATTACGATTTCGGTTGGGGTTCATCTTCCTCATCAGACGAAATCAAAATAAATTCACTCACAAGTCTTTGTACCTGGACCGGGGTACTGGTAGACAGTGGAGAATTTTGCACAGGTGCTTCTGATATTTTGGGTTTCGCCGGAACTTGCCTTATAATTACTTGCTTCGGGTTGGTCACTTTTTTAAGCGGCTGATTGGTCGTTTGAGATTCGGAAGTTACAGGTTGCAGCCTCACTTCGCCGTTATCTAGGAAGACGATTTTTTCAACTATCGGGTGCTTGGTGGAATTCGATTTTGGTAGTTGGGCCAAGTTTTTGATGTTTTGTGGTAGATTATTTATGCCTACTGGAATCATTACAGCTGGATTATTGTAATCGATATTTTGAGGTTGTTGGTTGTAGATGCCAGGAACTTTTGCATTTGGAGAAGGAGTTTTTATTGATTTTGGAGCTGAATTCTTGGGTGCTATTTTTCGATAGGTTTTCTGACTGTTGAAAGACATTCTTGTTTCTAATTTGCTTAATGTAGCTTGAGTTGCGGTACCAGATGAGAATAATTGATATGTTCTATTAGTTATCAACGAGTTGTTATCAGGTTGTAATAATTCATTTGATGTTTTGTTGCCAGTCTCTGATTTTCTAACCAATTGTGTTATTGCATTTTTAACAGGTGATTTTTGAATTAACAAAGATCTATTATTGGCAGTTGATAATTGATTATTACTTATTGGTATATTAGTTGCTTTGTCTCCAATTCCATTAGTTTCCGGTAATTGTTGAATTGTTGCTGCTATTTTTTGACGTTTCGGCAACAAGCTATTGCCATCTTTAGATGCATCCTTACGCTTCATTGGACAATTATCGAAAGTCAATAAAACTCTATCACCAGATTTGAATTCTTCGTTATTGGTAGTTGTTGTCTTGGATTGGGGCAAAGGAGTCAATAAGGGAGGATTTAAGGGTGGTTTCTGCGTTCTCGTAAGGACTTGAGTCAATGCTGGAGGAATTTGCGTATTTGTAAAGAGTTGAGTGCCAGTCAATAGTGGTGGATTTTGGGTTTTTGTCAATACTTGAGTGACAGTTAATAATGGAGGACTTAACGTTTTTGTAAAGACTTGAGGGCCAGTCAATGATGGAGGATTTTGTTTTTTTGTAAGGACTTGCGGGAGAGAGTTTTTTTTTGAATCAATATCCGAACTTCTCAATTTTATATTTGAGTGAATTTTCACCGCTTTGGTGGGTGAAGGTTTATTGCTGACCTCCATGGTAAGCAAATTGATCCGTACTGGTTCTACTGTTTTTGCTGGTTCCACAGTTTTTTGGGGCTGCAATAAATCTTTCCTGACCTGAAAAATCCTCATTTAAATTAACCCTAATTGTTTGCTTAAAAACTTACTGTCAATACTGGTTTTTTTGGAATTTCTTCTGGTTGTAGATCGGCAATGATTTGGTTGTTGATTCGTTTTTCGTCCAGTGAATACGGTTTCGCCATTGGGAAATAGTCCGGTTCACAAGGCCCTTGCAGCTCCAGCTCTGGAGGGCTGTCGTAGTCGTCCAGATCCATAATTATTTCTTGAGGTACAGGCGAAATGATTGGGCATCTATCTGTTTGATTATTAGAAAATGTCATTGTCCTAAATTGATTTTTCAATGTAGAATGAAGTTTAGATTAAATTGTAGCTTCGATATTTAAGTTTATTTGTTGAGGAATATATCACCTTGGGATTATAGTTTATAAGCGTGTGGGATTCCAGGGAAATTTTGTGGAATTTCAATGGGATTCCTTAGTTTGCACCTATAGTGGCGGCTAAACTGAATAACAAGACTTTTTTGTCCAGAGTCTTATTATTTGCTAGCGTTTAAAATAATTCTAGAAATTCACAAGAAATTTCATGGAATTCCTTTGGATTCCAGTAAGATTCCGTGGGACTTCAATAGGATATTGTGGGATTCTGGTCTACACATTTTTCAAGGTGATTTACCCCTCAGTGGTAATTGAAAAGGAGAAAGAATAGGAAAAAAACTAGAACAGAATTCAATAAAGCCATGAGAACCAGGCAGTGGGAGAAAAAGTTGAGTTAAACAATTTATAATAGTTGATGAGGTCATGTCAGGACAAGCAAAGCCAAATAGGAATCTAGAAAATTCATCCACAATAGTCAAAATATGGTTCTCAGATGGCAACGGACCTTTAAAATCTACATTTATTCTTTCAAAAAGGACAATAGCTTTTTTGATGGTCCCTTCATTTCTATAAGACCTTGGTTTGATCTCAGCACAAACGAGACAGGAAAAAGGTAGATTCTTACATTGGACCCAGTGATACAGTCTTGTTATACCAGAATGACAGAGAGAATAATATAGATTATACAATGTTTTGTCACTAGAAGAAGGTAAAATCGCAGAAGATATTCTTGAAAATGTATCTGCCACGATATTTTGATTTCCAGATCTGTATATGATATCATATTTATAAGATGATAGTTCCAGACGCCACCGTATTATTTTTTTATTTTTTATTTTATAGCGTTTTCTGTTGGTAAAACTCGTGCTGCACTCGTGCAAAAATTATGTTCTGTTGGCAGTTCTAAATATAATAAAGGTAAAATGTGTTTTTTTTTTTAAAGATAAAAGTCAAAATGACATTATGTTGGCAATACAATGTAAAATTGTCAATGCTTTCAAATTTTTTATGTAGAAAAGGTTTGTGTTGCCAACATAGTTACTAAATTTTTGACTTGGGGAATTATCTTTAAAAAAAAAAACAGACTTTAAGTAATTCTAAAATCAAAAATGAAAAAATAATGCGGTGGCGCCTGGAACTAACATCTTATAAATATGATATCATATATAGATCTGGAAATCAAAATATCGTGGCAGATACATTTTCCAGAATAACTTCTGCGATTTTACCTTCTACTAGTGACAAAACATTGTATAATCTACATAATTCTCTCTGTCATCCTGGTATAACAAGACTGTATCACTGGGTCCGATGTAAGAATCTACCTTTCGCACTAGACAATATCAAGATAATTTCGGCCACCTGTCCCGTTTGTGCTGAGATCAAATCAAGGTTTCATAGAAATCAAGGGACCATCATAAAAACTGCTGCCCCTTTCGAAAGAATAAATGTAGATTTTAAAGGTCCATTGCCATCTGAGAACCAAAACCGCTATATTTTGACTATTATGGATGAATTTTCTAGATTCCCATTTGGCTTTGCTTGTCTTGACATGACCTCATCAACTATTATAAATTGCCTAACTCAACTTTTTTCTGTTTTTCGGATACCATCGTACCTGCATAGTGATAGAGGGACAATGTCTGAAGGGAGGGGAGTGGGGAAAGGATAGGAAGGATGGGAAAAAAGGAAAGGGGATTTTATTTACTAGAAGAAAAGTGGAGCTTTTAGATTTCTGAAAATAGTCCTGTCAGGGTTAATAGTATAAGTTATCGTCAAATAAATAATTATGTCATTTGTATGGTTAGTTACTTTGTCAAGAAACCGCGTATTTTTCTCAACGCTCAGGGTCCTTATTCTTGAAACAGGGGAGCAACGTTCCCAGGAGAACGAGTGTTCCATCTTTGTTAATTATATTATCATTTGCATATCATTGAGAAAGACGGAACACTCGTTCTCCTGGGAACGTTGCTCCCCTGGTTCAAGAATAAGGACCTAAGTAGGGTCAGTGTACCAGTAGTTGACCAGTTTAAGACAAATTTTGAAAAAAAAAATCGTAAAATTTTAATCTTAGTTTTTTACTAAAAACAAAAATTACCAGATCGTTGGGCAATATCTTTTCTATCAAAAAGTGATATTTAGCTTAATAAAAGTTTCAAATCTCCATTATCAAAAATTATTCTTAACGAAAAGTACAAAACACGCCAGTTTTTGACCAAAGATCTTCAGTAGATGACCATTATGCGACCTAGTAGTTGACCACTATTATTATTAAAACAAGAATTTTAGGAAAATGTTTATTTATTATAATAAACTCATGTCTACAACTACAAGAATTAATTTACAAAACATTGTAGGAAAACTTATATTTTATCCTCTGACCCAAACCGCTGATATTTGGTTGATCCAATCTAGAAATTGGCTTACAATTGGTTGCAGATTCATCAGAATTTAAGTTCCAGGGTCCTTATTCTTGAAACAGGGAAGCAGCGTTCCTAGGAGAACAAGTGTTCTGTCTTGGTTACTCATATTATCAGTTGCATATCATGGAGAAAGACGGAATACTCGTTCTCCTGGGAACGCTGCTCCCCTGTTTCAAGAATAAGGACCCTGGAAGGATCCTCTAGGATATCGACAGCATTTTCGCTCATTAAGTATGAGCGAATTTCTTCATGCCATCTTCTAATTGCATCTTCAGTTACACTAGCTCTTGCAGTGTGGATGGACTCAGCTTGTCGTTGGCTATTCTCAGGGTGGCGCCTGAGGATGCATTAAACCAAGTCCTTCCAGGTAATCCATCTGCAAACGGTGTTGAGCGATTATCAGTTTTCAATATGTAATGCACCGTCTCGCAAAGTAACCGTTTATTTAGCGGAAAACCCTTCTTGGCGCATCCTGTTATCCAACGAATCAACAACTGTTCCTCTTCTTCCGTTAATATAGAAGAAGGCCCCATCTTTTGTTTAAACTATGATTTACTTTTCAATTTATGTATTAATGTTGAATGGGGAACATTGTAGTTTCTTTCAGCTTGCCTTATTGAGCACCGCTTGTTTTGTACATCTGCAATAATTGCTTTAGGAACGTCACTTTGGCTATATTTAAAAAAAGTATTTTCCTTTTCCATTATGCTGAAACAGAAATCAGTTGTTGACCACATATTTGAGTTACTAGTTGACCATCACATTTTGTTGGTCATCTACTGAAAGGAGCCGGAGATTATCAATTTTAAAGAGAGATGCCAAATAGTAAACATATATCCGTTGCTATAGATCCAATAAGGAGAGGAAATAATAATATGTATGCAATATCCAGTAATTGACCACTTTGGTCAGAAACTAGAGCCTTATTAAATTTTCCTTTTTAGTAGTTGACCACCTGTTTTTCAGAAGCAAAATGATAGGTTTGAAGAAAAATACTGACAGGATGGTCTAGAATAACTTATTAACTTTCCCTCAAACCAAAAAAACTAATGTCGATTAAAAGCGATTAACCAGTCGGTTATATTGACAGATAAACGATGCATTTAACGTCATTTATAACCGATTGGTTGACAAATGACGTTTGCTTCATTGATTATCTGTCAACTATGTCCGACCGGTTAATCGCCTTTAATCGATGTAATATTTTAAACATTATTATCGCCGATGAACATGGATATAATATGTGGTGCTACCTTACCTTGCTTTCTCCATAACACGCAGAAATACACACAAAATGGCCACTCTATTTTTGTTTCAATAAAGTACAAAACTTTATATGAAATATAAAGCGTTCACTGCGCCACCTATTAGTCAAAGGTCACTATGATATATCTAGACTATTAAACCGGCCAGCAACTCAACTTGGTTCTTGTTAATTCAATTTTAGGAAGAAATGGTCAAACTGTTGCACCCTAAAGTAATGTAGGTCTGATAACTTATTTAGTTATTTGTACAGTAATAGTTTGTTTTTTAGCGTAATTTACTGTCCTTGTTGAGTAATGGATAAAGCAATCCCACTAATTTGTTACGCATTTATTCAGTTTATGATAAATGTGGGGGGTCCAAGAAAGTTTACTAATATCCAGTTACTTAATAATCCTAAATATTTAATTTGATTTGTCCATGTAATTTTAGAATCGTCCAGTATGAGGTTGTCAATATATTTGCGAGGGGTAAGTCACCCTCAAAATTGTGTACAATAAATTACCACTTTCTTCAAATAATACCAAAAAATACCAATAATTACCAGAAAAATACCAATAATTACCAAAACAATACCTACCAATAATTACCAAAAAGCTAAGGATCCATGAATCTAAGAAACTTTTACTGTTGCATACTCCTCGGCATACTCTAAGTGGGGCTGCAATCAGCAGGCTAGCGCGAGTGACAGCCCATGTAATAAAGGAATTCAAGGTCGGGACGTCACTAGCGGCCATTTTGGGATACGAAACAGGGCCTGATTAACAATAATTTAGGTTTTTTTCTTTCGTGTCACAGAGTCGTATTGGCTCTAAATAAAGTTATTGATTTAGAAGGAAGACAATGGAATTTTATCAAACATTGGCTATGGCTTGAGAATTTTTAGTATTGAATACTGATAAAATAATTTAATAGGTCTGTTTCTGCCTCAGTTTCTGCAGAAATCACAAACCAGTCAGACCTAATATCATTGGTTGAAAACAGTCAGAAAACTAATTTCCACCAATGAAAGTCCACCAATTTATTATTATTATTAAATTGACAAGAATGATAACAGCATCAATGACAAGACTAAGAATACACTAAAATCACAGCATCTAAAATTGTATGCTGTGCTACAATTACAGCTTAAATACCGCTCTACATTGCACGTCTATGACCTCCACCCTCCACCAGAAATAAACAAGTAAAATAGAATTTCGGCGTCCCCGCCGTTCAATGACAGGATGGTGTTC